TGGATTTATCTAGTCGATACACTCAATTTAACTGTAAGCTTTTCGAATTTGGAATTTGTTAGCTTTTCAATTATGCCCCAAAACTTTTGAAAGTGTTTTAATAACTTGAACTGCTTGATTTGACACAAATTGAAGCAATTTTGATACTGTCAGGTGACTCAGAAGTTTCTCATCAGGGATCAAAGTTCTACAACTAAGTCAATTATCTTATGGTGGATGTTTAATGTAACCAAACTATCTTAGACCACTCTTCTAATCTTGTTTGCCACTCGAGCTACGCCAACCCTATCACGGATACATTTAGGGGTATAATTGTAAAATAGTAAAATTTAGATGATATATATGTTAACCATAGGAACTAGGTGAAACAAACACACAAAGTGAAAAATTCATAAGCGTCAGTTTGAATGCTCACATTGCCGGAAGAAAAGAAAAAAACAAGGAAGGAGTGTGTCGGTTTGCAGCATGGCAATGCCAAAGACAAAAAATTAACAAGAATGAGAAATGAAATATATATATATATCAATTTAATCCATCATAGAAGTTTAATTATCAGACCTTATCAGACCATTTTATTCTTTAATTGATTCATCACAATTTAATCCATCATAGAAGTTTAATTATCAGACCATTTTATTTTTAATTGATTCATCGCAAACTAAATACATACGTAGAGCCACCCAAAAAAGGTAAAAAATATTACATATGGAACACTGAACATCCGGACGACACACGTAATATTTTCTCCCAAAAAAGGATGCAAAAATAGTTTGGGATAGGTCCCAAAGTAGGTCCCAAACATAAACTATTGTTCCTACAATGCATGCACATTAATGTACATGTTGATGATCTAGGGTGTTATATATATCAACTTTTATGATGACTATCGACACAACTATATACTTATAAACACACATACTCATATATACCATCCTCCACATATCTTGGAATTATCTCACCTAATTAAAATTTATCGCCCGAAGGCTTAAATTCAGCAAGGCCGGACAGCTTCTGGACTTCCTCCTCCACCCCTTCAACCTTAACCGAAATCTCCATCAGAAGAGAAACGACAGTCATCAATGGCAGAGATTCCATGAAAGACTGTCTCTTCTTCATCATCATACTGTCATCATCTTTCTGCAACCCTAACTCATTATTATATGTGGTCGGGAGAGATTTCATGGCGGTCTTCACCTCTTCCACTGCTTCCTTCATCTCCTTAACCATATGGCTTAAGCTTTCCGAGCTGCGCATGTTTTCGATACAGACTGATAGTTCTTTCAAAACTTGTGCTGATTTTGAGCTCAGCTTCATACAAACTTCACTGAGATGTCTCTTCATTAACTCAGAAGCCTACGTACCATTAATATGTATTTAATTTGAATTTTAAATAACTGTGAATTAATTAATTAATTAATTAATTTTTTAATTACCTGGATCTCAGAGTGAGAAGAGCAATGGAGGGCTTCGATGCAGTAAGCACAGGACCTCATCGCTGCACCTACTTTCAGGTATTGGCTCCATGGATGCCGGAAGCCAAATGGGCCATGAGCTGGCTCCCATGCTGCCAGATTTGCCTATTTATACATATATAAAAATTTGTTACATATGTTAACTAATTAAACATATATGTATAATTTTAATTAAGACTTATTTTATTCAAATTTTGATCATTTTT